CGGAATCGGGTACCCGGCTATAGAACCAGAATCGCCTTGGAACCGCCGGTTCCAGAACCGGAACCGATATGAGTGGTTCTGGTTCCGGTTCCGGTTTCTAAAATACGGAACCGATTGAGAATGGTTCCGGTTCCGGTTCTCAATTTTTCGGAACCGTTACCCGCCGGGTACCCGGTATTTTTCAATAAAAAAATAATTATTATTTTTTAATACCAAATTTATATTAGGTTTACATCTTAAAAGCACGTCGTCATCTTCAATCTTCATCTAAATTCTTCATATAAAATGATTCGTATTTTTTCAAATTGTGTGTTCACTTGGATTCATAGTATGTAATCGTTAAACTTTGAACAATTACCATTATAGTATGTAATTGTTAAACTTTGAACATTTTCTATTAGTCTATTATGGTTTGTAATCGTTAATCAATATTTGTAACCATTATTTTGTATAATTTGTATTCTTGCTTATTTATTTAGTATTTTGGCAATGTTTTATTTTTTATTTCTAAATAACAAATTTTTAATATTTTAAGAAGCGGGTACCCAGAACCGGAACCGGTTCCCGGAGGTACCGGTTCCGGTTCCAAAAATTTAAGAACCGCTCTAACTGATTCCGGTTCCGGTTCCAATATCTCAAGAACCGCCGGTTCCGGTTCCTGTCAAAAAGGGCGGGTATCCGCCTATGTTCACCCCTAGTTTTTAATATGTTGATCTCTAAGGATAGTGATTTGCCCCGACTCGATGGAGAACCCGGCTCACTCGACTCGAATAGGGACGGGATTCCCTACTAAGGGTCCCATGACCAAGGATCCCCTGGTAGACTCAAACCGGGGTCAGGGCCGGGGCTGTTACTTAAACCAGGGTTGGGGCCTGTGCTTAGAATTCCCGGTAGACTCAAACTAACGAATATTCTTCATGGGGATTGACCGGGGTTTGACAGGGACCGGGGTCGAGGGGCTGTTACTAAAAACTGAGGCCGAAGCCAGGGATTACAAAAAACTCACCCCTTCTCCGCCCTGTTGTCATGCCTAGTGATCTCCATGGTTCCTTGGTAGTGAGTAAAGTAACTGATTTGATGTTAGCAACTAGTATTCTTTAGACATCATGTTGTTTATTATAGTTTTTCTATTCATGTGTTGTGTTTTTTTTTTTTTTTTTTTTTGTTTCTTATGATACGAATGTGTCATAGGTACGAAAAGGTTCAGTGAATCATCACAACCGGAAAAAACCTAGGGTTAGTTGGAAAGAAGCTGTGGTGAAAACGTTTATGGGGTCTTGTATACGTGAGATATCCATGAATGGACTCCAACAGTATCCTTAAAATGCATTCTTAAAATAATGTGACATAAACACTAAAAAATCGTGCATAATTTCATTATCAGTTAAAGATGAACAAAAGTTTAGTACGACTATTTGAAAGGAAAGTATGTCGTATGAACTAGATTTTAGACTAAGAAATAAAACAGATAACGTCTATGACCCACCAAGAAACAGCTTCAACTTATTCGAAGCGGAATTACATGCAGAGATGAAGGTCGAATTCTTTTGTTTTCTTTATTTTATATTTGTTTTCCTATTTTTCTTTTAGGTATATACTTGTACACGCTTTTTATCAGTAGTTTGAGTAAATATGTTGAAAAGTTGAGGAATGTATAACTATTTCGGTGGAGTTGTTGCCACGTTCGTCTAGATTTGGGGACATCACTGTAATTTGCATAACCCTTCGTGTGTTGCTAACGTTTCCAACCCAGATGTGGAAGTTGTTGATAATCATTGATTGAATACCGTACAGGGAGTCAGGGACCACTTATTTGTTGGTTTTTGGGACGAAAATAAGAAACCTACTATTTATTGCTTCTAGGCAAGTCATCTTTATCCTTAATGCAACCATTGGTAAGCGAAGAGGCCTCGACTTATGGGTAAGATCCAATGAAACCGAATATCTGTAAAAACGTAATTATCTTAAATAGATCAACCATGTTCTTTAGTTTCCGATCATGGTGACCCAGAGGACGATGAGATGGATTGCATATCCAAGTTAGAGAAATTTGTTTGAGAAGAAACCTGTGGTACGACACAACACTTTATCTTTAAGCCAAGGCGTAGATTACATGAAACTTTGGTTGTGTTTGAAGGATGAGAATTCTGAGTTGTAGATTTACGGGGTGTTTGTGATTGCTTATTTAAAACAACTTATGTTTTTCTATAAAAAGCACTTATCAACTTATTATAAGTCAGAAAAGATTAACTTATTCAAAAACTCCTTATTACCGGTTTGACAACGATATAAGTTGTTTATCCAAACATTCAAAAGTGCTTATTACCGGTGTCACACTGGAATAAGTCAATAAGTTGTTTTATAAGCAATCTCAAACACCCTCTTAGATTTACGGTGTATCAGCTTAAATTACCATGAATATTATGATATATATATGTATTAAAAACAATTTATTAAGCATCAGTCATTAAACAGTAATGCATAATTTTTTAAATTTCAAGTTTATAAATAATTAATAAATATATAATTTTTTTAAATAATCAAGATTTAGCCTCTACTAATATCACATAAAAGAAATTCATATCATTAAAACTAAAATAAATTATACCTTTTTTTTTAATATAAAATATTTAATTAATAATAAAATTTTGACTTAAACAAATTATACCCAAAAATATATTACAATATTTAATTTGACAACAATATCAATATATTCTTTTATTTTTTACCAGATATAAAATTTAAGGGTTATTTATTTACCTTCTAATGGTTCCATTAAGATTCAACATCTGAATCACTAAGAGGTAAATCTTGTTTGACAAAACAAATCTGTTTTTTAATGATTCTAAAACTATCTGAATGATTTTATATCATGAGCCTCCTAATTTCATTATAACCAATTATTAAACAGTTATATTTCATTTTATACTATATGATGAGAGCCTCTTAATCATTCTGACCACTTAATCATACTGTACAAAATCATTCAGCAACCGCCAAACAATCACCAACATTTTCAACCACCACTTATAATCTCAATTTTGTTCAATCAGAAATTTTGAATTTTCTTTTTTAATTAAAATCATACTAATTTTTATTCTTAATTTATCATAAAATATTGCATCCCCTCAAGTAAACAACTAGTGTATATATAAGAGGCATTTGCTGAATGATTTGGTGCTGAATGATTAAGACACTTTCATGATATAGTGAAAATGAAATATAATTGTTTGGTAATTGTTTACAATGAAATTAGGACGTTTAATGGTTAAGGCAGACCCATGATACAAAACAATTCAGGGGACGTTTGGTTCATTTCAAGGAATCGGAATGAAAATAGGAATGAATATATAAGGGAATAAGAATCAATATATCCATTTTATTATATTATATTTGCTTTATATTACTTTCCATTGTTGATGTATGGTTTAAAAAAACTCATCCTACAATAACAGGCTCTCTTTATTTTTCTTCTTGTTTCTTATCCAAACCATAGCCATGAAACATCACATCGATTTTTTGAAGAACATAGATGGAGGTGGAACAATGATGAAGAACATAGATGAAGGTTGGGACGAAGAACACAGATGAAGGCTGGGACGAAATTCACCACCACCACTGCGGTTTTGGTCCCTGTGATGACCCTCCCCCAACCATCTCTGGCTCTCTTCACAACCACCACCACTCAGCAGCCTCCATCTACAGTCATCTGGCCGATCTCTTCCCTGCTCCGATCGAAAACCCCCAACAACACCCTCCT